TTTTGACCAGGCGTTTCAAAGCCTTCACGGAGTTATGTAGTAATTCTGATGTGTTCAGTGAACATCACTGGCTCCACTTTTCCGAATTTGTTAGTATGGTACAAATTTTTTCGAAATTTTTGGTTATTAATCCGCTTTTGAAAAATAACAGAAAATGTTTTCCAAATTTCGCGGGAGGTATTTTTGCGTTCAATAACGAGCGATAATACTTTTCTGGAATAAGTTACGCGATTTTTGGCTACGAAAAGAAAGAAAGTAAAACATAACTTTTGTTTTTACCTAAAAACTGCAATACTAATCAGTCCTTATTACCGTTAGCCTCATATTTAATTTGTTAATAGAATTATTTGTCCTTTTTTCGTTCTCTGGTCACAAATGAACAGTATACCACGCCTACCAGATATCTCAACACAAATCAAAGTTCTGCCGTTTAAGCGGCAACCAATTAAGTCGCTCGGTGCGAAGGAACTGGCAGAAAAGATTCGACAAGCGAATGAAGAGGTAGTTCATCGTTCATTTTGAAGATTTTTAACTTTTTTGGAACTCGCGTTTACTGCGTGCGTATCCAACGCGCTTCTGAGAAAAATTCAAAGTACGTTTTTTTATTTCCTCTTTTGGTTAGGAGATATTTCATAAAATCGAAATCAAAAAATATGTTGTAATTTTACTGCTGTTCGATGGGTGTGTGCATTAACCTCGTTTGCAGTTTTTTGGTAATTTGAAGTCAATGAAGAAAGAAGTTTATCAGGAAATCGTAAGAGAAAAGTTTCATTTCAGTAACAGGGCCAAATTTAAGGAAGATTTCTGGTCAAAAATCAAAAGTCGGTTTATTTACTTGCTTATTCTTATGTTTTACAATTGTTTAGCATTGTCTTTATTATGTACATTTGTACGGGGGAGCAACAGTTATCATAAAAGACGCGACTGGCGTAATTATACACCTTTGTAATGCATTTTTTTAATGCAAGGTAGCGTTCCATTCGTTCTCTGGTTTTGTTGGAAAGCTGGAACCATTGAATGTGAGAGGGATTGGTAACTAAGCTTTTATGTGGTATTGGTGTTTGCCTCTTGTAGGTTTTCGCCTGGACTTTTGCTGTTGATTTTTCAGAAATTTCGTCACAAGCAGTGACTAAAGGAAAACGGGCAGATGTAGTTATTGAATGTGTTTATACCGTAAGTATCTACTTTCAAACTGTTTTAGTTTGATTTTTGATCTTTGTATCAAAGTTTTTGCGAACAGTGATTTGATTGTAATGTTTTTTCTTCGATTTATTTTTGTGTTACGTTTTTCATTGCTTTTTTCTGAAGTGGCGGCTTTAGTTCTTAAAAATTATAATGTTCTTACTTATCAAGGACAGCGAAATTGATGAGGAGGATGAAGATGACGACAAGAAGAACGTATCCTCGCAGTTGCGTAGTTCTCCGCAATATTCCAGGCAGAAACGGTGAAAAAAAAATTATTGCAATGGTTACGCGGGAATTTACTCAGCTGGCAACATGATTTCAACTTTCACAGCGGTGTTTCACTATGAAAGTCGCTGGGATTTTATGAAAGCATTCAGTGTTCCGTATAAGTTTTCGTAATAAGGAAAGCCTTTGCGTCAGGTACAACGACAGTAGTCATATAAAACTTCCATGTAGAAACAATAGGTTGCAAAAAAGAAACTTGCGTTGTGATTTGTACAGTGAATTGAATGATCAGTGGAAGCAGAACTTGAGAATTGCTCTACAGTATCTTCTAGTCTGATAAGGTGTCTGAGAACACTGAGGGAAAATTGGAAAAACACAACCTATCAGGGGAACAGTAGTGGGAGGTGCACTCAGTACGTCGATTAGGCCTTTTGAGTACCTTGGAAATGATTCAGCGAATCATTCGTTTATAATCGGAGAGCGTTTGAAGATGGCTGTCTTTGAACCTTACACAGTGTGGTGAGAAATGGAATCATGAATATGTCTGGAAGTTTTTGAGGCTTTATTAGAATAAATAGAAATGTAGTATGAGCGGGCAGAATTCTAGCTTTTTAGGCTGCATGGGCGCTTAGATCGTTTAAATGCAGATCTTAGGAGCTGCATCTTAAAATTCCTTTTAGTTGCATGTCATTTTTGTTCGTTTTAAGAAAACTTGGAAGATTTCTTTGCTTTTCAGCATAAACTGCACATCTTTAGCAAAATGGTCCTGATTTCAAATGAAGTTTCCTCTGAAAGTCTTTGAATTTCAAATCAAAAATTGCTGGGTCGTTTCCAACACTTGAGGGGCTCATTAGATAAACAAGATACGTTTTTCACTGGCATCATCTTGTTTAGGCTGACCTGAACGAGTACTTCAGAAATAATTTTCATTTTTTTTCTAAATTTTCATCCGGCTTGATATCAGAATATGAAAGATAGTGTAGATGCTCTCAGTGGTCATTTTATTTCAATGCTCAGTCTATAGGGTAAGTGCCTTTGATGTGCTAAACTGATTGTTTTTACTGGGGGGTATTATATGTTTGCAGCTATAGTATTTGCCAAGAAGGTCTTGTCTTTGTCGCTGAAATTTTATGTACGAATGAGTTTTGGTCTTTCTTTTTTTTTTAGTCGTGGTTTAATGTGTTAATGTCGTCTTGGTTGAAAACATGGAATAAATTATGAGTTTTTACTGTTTTGCCATTAAGTTGGTGGAGGCTATGTTTTGCGTGGTATTGCATTTCATTTACGTTGTTGATCAGTGACGTGGGTTATGGGTGACTGGGATCTTTCTTTGAAATTTTTTGGGGTTTACAGTAAGGTTAATTCCCCGTCTTAAAAAATTTGTACGGGTGCAGCAGGTAGTTGTGCGGTACTTTCCCATTTGCAGTAATCTACAGTTATTAACAGCAAGTAGAAGCACAAAGTGATCATTAGTTTGAATAAGATTTGTGAATAAATTTTTACTGATTAGGCGGTACAGGCGAAAGATAACTAAGCTGTCTTGATCTGATAAAATTTTCATTTTCCGGAGGCAAGTTTTTTTTTTTATCTGCTGTAAAAAATGAACTTAGAAAGATGATTACATTGCCACATTCTACGCACACCTTTACGAAGATAGCTGTAGAATGTGATGTATGTAAAAATGTACAAATGATGATAGCGACAGCAAGGAAAATTACAAGTGAACGGAAAGTATGATGATATCGTCGCGGCAAACCAACACTGTTTGTAATTAGAGAAAAGCAAACTGTACCGTCACTGCCTGACTTCCGAAAAGAACTGGTTTGGTACATTTCTAAAAATACCAATTGGTTGCTTGCTAGTTTAAAGTACTAAATAAATTGAGAGGGCTGTATTATTCTGATGGCTTAGCTAGGGACTTTAAGCAAAGACTTACCTTAGCGATCAGTAACGATTGTTGCGGAAAATTGAGAGATACAAAATTTGATTGCAAACATACTCGACGAGTGTTGACCAAAGAAAACTTTACTGGTAAGAATAATTCTAAAAATCGATGGCCATTTGCATAAACATTTTTAACGACAATTACGTAATTTACTCAACTTATGCTCGATTTCATTAAAAGTAATCACTGACGTGATATAAGGAAAATGGTAGCTGTAGGGTGAAAGGTGTAACCAATAAGCAATGTGACAAGGTATTTATCAATTCAAAAAGCGTAAATGTTACCGGTAGAAATCTCAATAGATTTTAAACATAAGTTGGTTTTTTTTTCATTCGTGCAACATTTAGATCTTAGTATATTGTATATCTTAATACTTTTAGCTTGGCTGAAAATTCATCCCGAAAAAGAAGAAATACTGGTGAGAATTTGACTACTTTCGCAATTGGTCGGTGTTCCTGTTCCCTATTCAACACCTGCATTTGGCTTCTGGTATACCAAAGCAGCTTATGAATCTTAAAACGAAGATAAAAACCACCGGAAAAGAAACATTGAAAACGGTAAACAAGGCGTCTAATTGCCATTCTCAGCGCCTTGGTTAAGCGGTTCCGGAAGTTAGAGTTAAACCCGTAATGTCAGCAGTTGTCACCGTGATAAGCTGGGTTTCTATCTATAGACTGTTGTCCGTTTCTATCGGACCGATGAAGCGGAGCGAAGGATTCTGCGCATAGAAAGACGAAGGTCGCTCAAAAAACATGAAACTGTGGAGGGCGAATGGCGCAACTGTCGATGTACCATAAACCATTGTCTGCTTTCATTTCATCCTTAATGTTTTTTTACGGTTAACAATTAACCGGTAACTTGATCGATAAATTTTTTTCATAGATGAATCCACTGTGATGAGCAGCATCAACATCCAAAAAAAGAGCTGCTTGAAACGGGATTGCCTCGGTTGGCATTCTTCCAATTGTCTACAGAACAATTTGGAGGCTTCTGTGGCTTCTGATACTCCAATCCGCTTTTTCGCTATCGTATACTTGTGTTCTTCTCTTCCGTTCACCCTCCTCACAGCTCCGTAGTCGTAGCGTGTCAAATCTGTTAGGTTTTGAAAAACTGTTTATCATATTACATTCGCCGAGAGTATCTAGGCCTGCTGCAGTGTCGGCACAGACCCCGCTTGATGAAGTGTGGGTTATTTCGGGAACAAATTTTGTTAAAGTTTTGTAGGGTTGGAAGTTTCGTCGCTATTTTTTTTCTTCGTAATAGAACGCTTGAGGAGTGTGTTATAATGACCCTTCAGTTACATATGACATACAGGAGGTCCGATCTAATTTCTGCTGCACTTTTTTTGGAACTTTAATTAAGTCGTGATTAAGTGTGTTAGTGTTTTTGGGATTATGGAGTGATTTTTATGTGTATAGTGAATATTACTGACATCAATTTTGTGAGTTTGATATGGATTTTTTACGGAGCTTTTGGTCACTGATCTCTTATGCTGTTTTTGAGTGATGATAGAAAAAATTTTTCGCTTTTTCGCAGAAGTATCTTTTTGTGCTCGCTAATTATGACATAATTTCATGGAATTTGGTTAAGTTGTGTAAATGAGTGTATTTCCCTGCCTCTAAATTACAGAGTTCTTGGGTAAGAAGAAAAAGGAAAGCCAAAATGCGTATATGGTAGTATATTCAGTTTGTTAACTGTTCTGCAGGATTACTTTTTATCATAATTTTACAAAATTCAGGTAACTAATGAACAGTGTACCATATCTACCAGATATTTCGTCACGAATCAAGGATCTGCCGTTTGAGCGGCGACCGATTGAGTCGCTTGGTGCGCAGAAGTTAGCAGAAAAAATTAGAATAGCAAATGAAGAGGTAACGCATAGTTCTCCTTGCATCTTTTTAAAGTTTTTCGACTGTTCTGGTTCTTGTATTTGATGTGTGCTGTACAACGCACTTCTTGGAAAGTTTGAAATACCTTTGCTTTTTTATTCTCTTCTTTATTTAGAGCATGTGTTGTGATACTTCCGACTTCAAGAAATATTTTGTATTTTTACTGCTGTTTACTGGATGTCTGAATTTACAATGGTTGCAGTTATTTGGTAAATCGAGGTCGATGATGGAAGAGACGAAAAAAAAAGTTAAAGGTCGAAAACCTTATTTTAGTAGCGGGTCCAGCCAGGAAAAGACCTTCTCGCCAGTCAAAGGAAGTTGGTTTATTTACGTGATAATTCTCATGTTTTACTATTGTTTAGCAGTTCTTAGAGGCTAACGCACATGTATACTTGCGAGTACCATTTATCCTGAAGTACGCGACTGAATTAATTGTTTTCATGTATAATACTTCTTATTTGAAAGCGATACCACCCCACCCGTTGTGTACTTTATTTAGACAGGTAAATGTGGTTGGAGGTGAGAGGAATTAATATTTGAGCTTTCAGCCACTATTGGTCTTTGCCCACAAAACAGGAGGTTTTTGTCTTTACATATAAAGTGTATTTTCAGGGTGTTGGACACAGTCGATAAAGGAAGGAGAGTGGAGCGGAGTAGTACGTGTTAACGACTGGGATACACCGTAAATGCCCATCTGTGTAAACAATTCCTCTTTACTGTTGTCTTTATGTTTTAAATCTTACATAGTCATTAATCAAGCCGCTTCATATTGACCGGATTATTTCACGTTTTATTTTCGCTGCTTGTTTCGAATGGTGGCTTTATTACCAAGAAATTATGAAATTTTTTCATATTAAGTAGTTGACGAGGAGGAAGGGAACATGGCTTTGCATTTACAAAGTTTTCATCATTTGGAGTAGAGGTGACAAAGAAGAAAGACTTTAAAGGTTGTTGTAGTCCTTGCTTATTTCCTTTTTTCTGAGGGTTTTGGGGGATTATACGAATGCGAGGCTTTGCTGTCTGCATTGTAATTCCCATCTTCCTCTTCATCTTTGATGTCCTAATGAGTGAGAATTCTGCAATTTCTCACTATAAATTTCTTTTTCCTGAACAGTTGGCCAGTTTTAGTGGAGGGTTCTGTATGTTATATAGTTCTGTATGGCTCTGTATGTTCTGTATGTTATGTTTGTTGTTTCGCTGCTGTCGTAATTTCCACAAACGCATATCTTCGTGGTCTTTGTCACCATGTTTTATTTGTGCGTACTTTTTTATTATTCGTTTATTTTTAGTCATAGTTTTACTTACAAGGATGGAACAAGTGAAGAGTTCGTTACTGATTTTGTTGTTAAGATGGTTAACCTTGTGTTCGACACCTTTATTTTGCGCGGTGTTGCTCGAATTTTGCATCGTGGATGGATTGTAAAGTTACAATTAACTTGGTCATGGTTTTCATAAAAACTCGGCGCCGGATGAATTAGGGTTGCTTAAGGGGTAGTTTTGGCTGCTTAGGGTGCGCTCTGGGGTATGGGAGCTCGTGGATAGTTTTTTTTGTTTGGATAGCAGGTCGAAACAGCTGGCTTGCTCTTGATTTTGATCTCAATGGAGAACCATTAGAAATCCAGGAGTAGAAATAAGTTGGCGATTGGGGAATCAGTGCAACGCAGCTAAATCCGCATTTCATAACTGGGGTGAATTTCGTCAGTTTTTTTGCAGCTTTATTTGCGTTTGTTGTTTTTGATTAAGTGATAGATGGTTTATTCCTGAACCTTATAGTTGAATTATTGTTTTGGAAAGTTTTTCCCAGAAATTCAGATTATGTACTTACGTGAATTTAGTAAATTTTCCAGATCGAGGTCTCTCCATGAGCAAAGTACCCATTAGTTTGTACGG